CTTCAAGTCTCTGCCAGATATCTAGGCCAGGAAGGACCATTCAGAATCTCAGCAAGTCCACAATCATCAAGAAAGATAGGTTAATTAGCAAGCCTGTGCACACTGTATGTGTATACATTAGTGTTGGTCATGAGATGTCGGAGCTTTCATTTTGTAATTTTGTAGGGGTGTAAAGTGAGCATTTGTGGGCCAAGACAGAGGTAGAGGACTGCAAAGAAGGTCCCTGGCTAAGAAAAGTTTGGTAGTTTGGTTTTTTTTTTTAATAGCTTCTCACATTACATTGCTATCATACTTGCAAGTTTTTCTTCAAATACTGGGAATTAAAATGTGCCCCATTTTATTACACAGAAAGGAAAGGATAATAATTTTGGGCTTTGTGAAATTTAGGCACACTGTAAGAAGTTGTAGCCTTCATGGTAATTTCAGTGAAGTACTTTGCCTGTCAGAGTTCTCAATAGCTCTGTTCCTTCCTCCCCTGCCAGCAGTGAATTTAAAGTATGGATAGATACAGAAAAATAGAGCTTAATCTCCTCTGTTCTCTTCACAATGAAGGCTCTCTTGGGTGCACTACTGAAAGAAGGTACTTGCATAAGTATCAGCATAATTCTGTTAAGGATTCCAGGTATCACTGCTGGGATGTTAAAAAATCCACTGCTTGGTGGGGTTTTTTCATGCTTGAATTTTTTTCAGGTAAGGTGGCATCCACTTCAAAAACCAGTGGTATACCAAAAAAAAATCAGGCAAGATGCTGGATTGACCAACTTGACACATGCAAAAATAATTTCTTGTTCCTGCTTTTGATAGCTGCAGTCAGAATGTCTTAACCTGAACTAATATACACCTTTTCAAAAGTATGTTTTCAGGATTTTATTGGGACCTCTAAAAATTACCATAATGTGGTTCTGCAAAACAAACTCATGAATTCCTCAATATAGCATCCAAGGGTCCTTCCCAACACATCTCACTTCCTCAACTCTTAAGACACTCTTGCTTGTAAGGAACGTTTACAGCAGCATTCCATAAGTTACAATACCACTTAGGATGGTATCCAATTTACAGATTTTAATAAGTAAAGTCCATTTTAGGTTGTGGGCATGACAACCCACAGATCAACTTTACCTTGTCAACAGAGAACTACATTTATACACTTAATAGTGAACTAAACCACCGTGTGGGTATGTCATGGCAGCAAGACTAGTCATTTCTGTTCACCTAGTTTGCTTGATAACCACAAGGTGAAACCACAATAGCAAAGAATTCTGTGTAAACTGGTCCCTGGAAGACCAGGGTACTTACTAGGGCAAGTGGCCTGGAAGCACATGTGCCATTTCAGGAAAGGTGTGTTCAGCTCTCCTGTAATCAGACCTCCCCACAGACTCAAAGTATGCTTGACTCTGCAATTATTTTTTTTCTTCCTCTCTTGCTTACAATCAATATAATTTGGTGGGATCTTTCTGCCACGACTAAGTATACTGCAAGGCCTCCCTGTTTAGCTGGGATTTTAATAAGGTAATGTGGGAGCAATGTCATCCTTGGCTCTAATTTCAGGTTATATATATATATTTTACTTACACTTGCTGTTAAGGCATTATTGACAGCCAGAATATATAAAGAAACAAATAAAATTGCTAGTTCAATAACTAGAATATTCATTCCTAGCAATACTGCCAAGATATGCCAGTGGAGATATGTCCACCAGGTTTTACAAAAAAAACCCCAAAACCGGCGTGGAACACCCTCCCTAACTGATCAGGCCAAAGAACTGAGACACTTTGTGATGCATAATCTAGAAACTGTTGGGCAAGGCAGTACTCCTCTTGGTGCTGAGCTAGGGACTGTGTGACATGTTACAGAGCATTCAGAAGCAGCAAGCGGCACACATACGTGCTGTCTGTTGGTAGCAGTTACTCAAGACTGCACAACAGGCACTCCCCACTTGTGTGTACACATTGTTAAACTAACTGCTAAAGCTGTCATCTCCCCTCTTTTAAGATATCACGTACTATCCCCCCTCGCTGCAGTCTTGCCATGACTTACAGAGGAAGTTGTCCTGCTGTTTCTTCCAGCAAAAAAGTGTACCCACATACTTCTTTGCACCCTCTTACACCTGCTGTGTACATAGAATCATAGAATGGTTTGGGTTGGAAGGGACCTCAAAGACCATCTAGTTCCACCCCTCCTCCCATGGGCAGGAACCCCCTCCACTAGACAAGGTTGCCCAAAGCCCCATCCAACCTGGCCTTGAACACTTCCAGGGAGGGGGCATCCACAGCTTCTCTGGGCAACCTGCTCTAGTCCCTCACAACCCTCACAGTGAAGAATTTCTTCCTAACTTCTAATCTAAATCTACTCTCTTTTAGTTTAAAGCCATTAGCCCTTGTCCTTTCACTACACTCCCCGATAAAGAATCTTTCTAGCTTTCCTGTAGGTTCCTTCAGGTACTGGCGTGCTGCAATTAGATCTCCCCAGAGCCTTCTCTTCTCCAGGCTGAACAACCCCAACTCTCTCAGCCTGTCTTCATAGGTGAGGTGCTCCAGCCCTCTGATCAGCTTCACGGCCCTCCTCTGGACTCACTCCAACAGCTCCATGTCTTTCTTGTGCTGGGGACCCCAGAGCTGGACGCAGTACTGCAGGTGGAGTCTCATGAGGGCAGAGTAGAGGGGCAGAATCACCTCCCTTGACCTGCTGGTCACTGCTTTTGATGCAGCCCAGGGTTGAAGGAAAGTTGACTGGTTAGCACATCAACAAGCTATCTAACAGATTTAAACATTGTCATAGAGGAATGATTATTCTAAGAAATTCTGACAAGGTAGAAATCAAGTATATATATATACCCAAGCAATATCTTGAAATAAAAAAAAATCTATATAGCTATGCCTCTATCCAACACCTACACTTCAAAAAACCCCAACTGATACATTTAGTAAATGCTAAAACAAATCAAGAAAAATACAAAGGAGAAGAGAACAATGTATATATAACCTGCTTTGGCAGTTATTAAATGCTTACACGCAAGCAGAGTTTCATGAAGCTTTGAGACTGAAATTTCCCTGCTCCCTGTTTTCCTCCTTAAAAATAAATCACTGTGTCTGAACATTGGAATTGCGGTCTATTGTGAGCTGAGCTGAAATTATGTAGTGGATTCAGCACATACTGGAAAAGCAGAAAGCTCCTGCTATCTTTGTGAGCTAGCTGAAAAGTGAAAACAGATTAGAAAAATAAGTTCTTCAATAGGCAGCAACATTGCTTTCACACCAGATTTGATGAATAAGTCCTCCCAGCGGCACTAACACCTGATACGCACATTGCATGGATTAGCAAGTTTTAGTCCAGGCAGAAGAAAAAACATTTTTTTTTTCCCTTCCAGTAACTGCTGCAGGTATATTATCTAATGAAAACACAACAAGATTTCTCTAAGGAATGTGAAATTCGTTTGGTGTTTCCATCAAACAATTATATGTTGTTCATCCACTATCTGAGAAGCACTGAGGCATATCCAGACCTGATTACATTTATTCTTAGCTCCAGATCAGACTGCCCCACTAGGGCGGCAAGCAATTTCTCATCTCTGCCTTACCAGATCCTTGATGCAGGGATACACAAAAGAGGGGTTTCTAATAACAATACAGCCACATTTGCTTAATATCTTGATCATCTTAAATCAGAATGTCTTTGATCATTAATGGAGCCTTTCAGAGTGTTTCGAATTAAAGGATAAATTTGCAAAGACATGTAACAGGGATTTGCTGTCTCCTATTAAGACCGGTGGAGGTAAACAGCTCAATCCCCATACACTGCTCTGAAATGTACCCTTTCAAATACTGTATTTTCAAAAGGCATCAGACTTTTCAATAACTAAGAAGCTTCTAAGAAAAACAGTATCATTTCCAATGATGTTTCTGTCAGCTAATGCTACTTCCAGGCCTGCAGAAAACAGAACAGCTCAAAGACTTTCACAGGAGAAGAATATGGAGTACTCCTCAGGGTTGTGCCCCTTGAGCTGCAAAGCATGCATTCTTATGCACCGCTGCATATGCCAGACTCTCCCCCACTACATAGATAACAGGACACAGAGCTAAGTGAAAAGTGCTCTTGCCATAAATAGCATTTTCACATACCAGCATTCACTGAAGACTCTTAACTTTGAGAGATTATTAGCAGGAGGTACACCAAAAATACCAGTTCAGCACAAAAAAGACTCATAGGAGCATTGAAGTATACAAGGATTAGAGTCATATTGTGACAAAGACATCAAGCGGCATCTGATGAACACAACGAAGGTTAACATCCAATAGATTCATTGCAAATGTGGAGGGCAACAGACTCCTCCCCTGGTTGTCTGCAAATTTTGTTCATATGTGCTATCTACGTGCACAATGTGGTCCTTAACAGTTCTGAAAAACATAGTAGTCTATGAAAGTGCATAAGGGAAATCAAAATCTCAATTGCTTTTTAGAAATGCAATAAACTACACATTCTTCTCCCTGATGGTTTTTATCATTAATAATGTAATCTCACAAACTAAATATCAGAAGGTGTAAACAAGTTGTTAGAACAGATTCTTGAGAGCTGTTCTTCCCATTACAGCAGGATTTTTCTATTCAGCAAGGAATTTTTACAAGCTATCTCTGAGAGACAGATAAGGATATATGGAATTCCCTCTCTCATATCCTTTATTAAATACATATTTCTTGTTTAATTAAAAGACTTCGCAAGATTACTTTTGATTCATTTGGTCAAATGGCAAAGACTAATTAGAACAACCAAGGTTCAGAAGCCCATTAGAAAATAATGATTCTCAGCAGCAAAAGTAATAAGTAACTCAACTAACAAACACGAACTGAATTTTAAGACATAGCTCCTCAAGGTCAAAAGAAGTAGCTCAAGAGGTTCCAACTCTCTAATTAAAAAAACCCAACAAACAACCCCACAAAAACCAACCAACCCCGCCCTCAAAAAAAACCAAAAAAGAAAAAACAAGCATCAGAGAAAGTACTTACTACAATGTCTTCAGGAAAAGTATCCAGACTGAAAGAGCCATCATCAAACACGACTTCATAGAAAAGTTGAGATGTCACTCCTATGACTCTGCAACTATAGTATCGTGTATTCTTGTGCTTTGTGATGACAGTCTGCCCAACTGTAATGGCCTTCTCACATGCTTTAGCTCTCTTGAAAAAATGGAAGAATTTAAAGTAAAAAGTGATTTTAAAATACCAGCTTACTCATCAGATATTTATCAGTGTCAAAACAGAACTGACAACTGTTCACCACTCAATATAAAAACTTCAAATGCAAAATCATTCCTTCCAATCATGATCACACAAATTTGTTTTATATACAAAGTTTCTGCATTTTATGAGAAAACAAATGGCATCTGAAGAATAACAAATCACAGCACTCAAAAAATGTTTTTGCAACTAACGCTTTCTAACTATTCTGTATTAGATCAATAACACATCATTAGCAGTATTTGTAAATTTTATTTGTAGAATAATTTGTAGAATTTGCTTGAAGAGGTAAGATATGATGAACCCAGGCTATGGTCTTGCATTGTGTTAAATGATGGGACTTTTAAGTACTGGATTTCAGTATGATTCTATATAATAGCTTAATATTTTGCTGAATGGGATACAATAACTAAATGCATAACCAGTTCTTGTCAGAGCTGTGTACAGCAGTGTATCTGAGTAACTTCTTACCCCATACTGTGCAGAACTTTTGCTTTTAATCTTCAGACAACATTGATTACTCTTCATCAGTTATTTAGTAAACCAGTAACAATAATTTTTTTCATTTCTCACTTTTCATAGACTCATAGAATCACAGAATGGTTTGGGTTGGAAGGGACCTTAAAGACCACCTAGTTCCACCCCCCCTGCCCTGGGCAGGGATATTATTCCACTAGACCAGGTTGCCCAAAGCCCCATCCAACGTGGCCTTGAACTCTTCCAGGGATGGGGCAGCCACAGCTTCTCTGGGCAAGATTCCCCAGAGCTAGTTATGTCAATCAGAAGAGTAGAAGGGTTGTTAAACTATGCAAAATTTCTACATCAATAACTGCTTGATGGATTCTACAAATAAAAAAAAAATGAATGGAACTTCTAAGTGAGCAAATGCTCAGAAGCTCACATGATGCAGACAGCTGTTAAATATCAGCTCCCTCCATAAACCTTCCACTTAAAAAGAAACCTTCTCCACCAGGAAAAATAAAATCAAGATTTTCTCATCCTAATAACACATGGAAGGCACTTCTTTCTTATGATCCTGATTGTCTGTTCATTACCTCACAAAGTCCATTTGTTTACGCAAAAGTGCATTGTTATGACTTTGGATATATCAAGTGCTACCAGTTAAACTTTTCTTATAATGGAAGATGCTACTACAAGTGGCAACTACACTGGTATACACTAAGCATGCAAGATTTTATTAGAAATGTTTATATAAACAGCATGAAAATACTTTATTACATATGCTAAAGTAATTACTCACTTTCCTAGCACTGCTTTTCAAACCTGCAAAAGCAGTGAATTCTTCAATCAATATAATAATCCTAAAAAGTGCCTATGAAAATCTGGAAAATGCTACAGCCGTAGATTTTTAGCACTAATATCAAAGAGAGAACTAGGGACAGCATCGATTCTTTTTGTTAGACTCCAAGCATTAATTATAATGTCCATGCTTTTCAGGAAGAGGAAAACTAAACTTGAACACTTCTCTTTTTGCACACACTGTAGTCACTATCGTGCCTCTTTCTTGTACCAATTTCTGGGATTTAAAATTTTTAAATCTCTCTGCTCCTGCAAACTAAGGGCAAACCAAGAACAAATATTCCGTACCATTTCTGGAGACAGTGCACTAAATCTCTGTCTGTCAGAGCTCTGCCTGACATACGCATTTGGAGGATTTAGTTGAGGTCACCTCAGATAGTAAAACCCAATGAAGTTTCCAAAGCATTTTCAAGTTTACCTAAAAATAATGTTCTCAGCATACTCACAAATTATTTAACCATTTACATGTACAACAAAATAGTTTCTTCCACATTTTACCTTTCTATAGTACAGATTTAAGTAGCAGAATTAACTACATAAATAACAACTTGCTGGTATTATCACAAGAGTGACAACATGTCAATTAGCACTTTTTATCCAATCTTGAAACATATGTAAACATAAATGTTAATTTACCTTTCAATTCTTCACTTTAGTCTATTCAGTTATTTCGGGGGGTGGAAGGGTGAATGAGAAGTAAACTGGAAAGTATTAATTGATTTACTTATATGAGATGATAGAACAAGTTTGATATTATAGTACAAAGCCCAAGGAGAAATAGTTCTATTAAAAGGTTTGAATGTTTTTATAGCCTGAAGATGGAACTCTTCAGAGAAGATGGAAGGCAAAATACAATATTTTAAGAGACAATATAGGCTCATTTAATGATACAGTTTTCAGAGAAGAAATGCCATTGCTCATTAAGACAAATAATAAAAACCAGAAATGCATCCTAGCTGAAGGAGAAGATTATTTTTTAGTATGTTATCTTGGTAGGATTCTTGATTTATTTCTCAGGAAAAATATTGACAAGCACACTCCGTAATTGATTGCATGTCCCAGAAAACATTTCCTGTCAGAACAATCTTAAAAATTTATTGATGTTAAGAATGTCATTTTTGATCAGAAAGGACAGTTGTTATGTAAGGAGTCTATCAGATTAAAGAAACAGTTGTGGTAGTTACCAGATTATTGAGAAAGCTGTGGTTTAAAAAGCATGATTTTCTTTAACAGTACCTAAGCCAACGATGAACTAAGATAGTGGCAGAAATACAGAAAACAACCAGATACAAAGGAAAAAAACGGTTAACCTCCCCTTCTGTGTGCAAACTTCAAAAAGATAAGAGAGAAAATTACTTTCTCCTTCATTTTCTGTATGGAAGGACACAAAAATCATGTTAAATAAAATATATAAACTATATTTATATTAAATCATAATAACTGTTATGAAATATGCATCTGATGTACAACTAAATATCTAGAAACTTTCTCGGACTACATTTTTTTAATGGAGGATCTTCAAAATTCTGAGACTTATTTGATACAGGAACATACCTCTAATTTCATCATTTTAAGCATACTCCTCAGAACTGCAGTTTAAGCATAGAAATGATGCATGACATTTCAAAAATACGCCGGCTCATGATTTTTGAATAGTATGTCCTTCCTAAGGCATGCCTTAGTCTCTCTGGAATGTTAAGGGGCTGGCAGTAGTTAGCAGACAGTGGCAAACAATGACATTGCATTAATCAGGTATTCAACAGAAAAACCATCTACAGTTTCCATTTGACAGCATCACTTCATTCCTTGTGTGCCACAGAGGTAAGAACTGGCCAATAACAGCAGAAGATAATTTGAAATAGCTCAAAACCAGGATGGTTTTGCAACTCCTATCCAGTGGATTTTTGCAACCCTTATCTGCCCCTTCTAAAGACAGTCTTTCAAAATGCATGTAACTGGGGCTGCGTAGATGGCCTTTCTGATCCCACTTTCCAAATCAAATATCGCCTTTGGTTATGTTTGCCTCCACCTAGCTTTCTTGGACCCTCAGTGCTGTCTTTGCAAATCTCATATAGATCCCTTGGAGGTTTTTTTTCCTGTTAGTATAGTTGCACACAACTTCTTTTTCTCATTTCCTTGTGTCTGAAAGAGTTCTTTTAATCAAGACAAAAAACATCTACAGCACCTGTTCTCAACCGTACTTCCATCTTGCAGTTTGATGACAAAAAGGTGTGAGGGATATGTTTCATACCCAGAGACAAGCACAGTCAATGAGTAAAAATGAAAAAAACCTACTGTCTGTTAAGCACTAAATCACAGAGCCTTCCTTGCATATTGACGTTCCAGTTTACATAACACAATAATATAGGCCACAACAGGAATAATCAAAACCATTCTTTATGAAACAACTTTACTGCTAGCTAATTTTCGTGTTATTTCTAAAGCTGTACCTTGAGCAAATACAAGAGGCATACTTAGTTTTGAGTCCATAGACTCAAAACAACAACATATTTTTGAAAAGTCATATCAACGTTTAAAAACTCCACTTCTTAGTATTTGTATATTTACTTCATTTGGCAGCACTATATGAATACAAACTTTATGTTTTCTTTTTGATTGTCTTTGTGATGATTTTTCACCAGAAGACCCACCAGTGTTTTCCATGGCTGACATTAAAATAGTACTCTAGGAAAAAATCCTGAAGACAATACAGAATCTGATCCATAGTGAAGTAGACTTGTGAAAGTATACTGATAAATAATTTGGACACAATTTGCTTGAAATCACAGCCACAGATAATTTCAATGTATACTCCCACCTCATCATTGCAATAAGCCCTTGCCTGAGGTGGAGAGATACACTAACACCAGTAGTAATACATATTTATTGGTACATAGGTAGGTTTTTTTGCTGAGCACCCTCACTAATTTACATATTACAATACCACTATTGATATATGTCACAATTTTTCCTAGTGCCCAGAAGCCATCCTTTGGTTGCTGAGTTTTGGGTTGTTTGTTTTTTTTTTTTTTTAAACTTGAAGAAAGTAGCAATCACAAGTATTCACTGAGCTATTAGGCACAATATCTAGAGGCTATACTAGCAAAAAACCCAGACAATTTTAATTTTGTTTCCTTGGAATAAGGAAAAATCATAGTGTCCTTGCTTTACGTACAATGTATTCAATTGTTAAAATACCGGAAGAGATTATTTTTTCTTGGTGACAAGACAAACTATTTGATTCCTGTAAAAATTTTCAAAGTGAGTATAATATTTCAGTCTGCATGATTCCTGTGTTCTGCTTTCAAGCAAGAAAGATAAAACAACAAACAAAAAAAAGTTCATTAGAAGTAAGGTACATTGCTATGCCTAATGGTGAAGAGCAATGTAATTTCTGCATGAAGGAATAGCTAATAGCTAAGAAAAGCATAACAAGAAAACCAATGCTGAAAAAACTTCCAAAGGCTTAAAGATGTGATTAGATTAATTATCCAAAAGACAGTATAAAACCAAGCATATACAAACATATGGCAATCTCCTTTGTCTCAAGAGTAAGTTAAGAATTTCACACAAAAAGATTCTTTAACAAAATAGCTGATCTTTCCAAGTTTTGGCCCAATGAAAAACACAAAAGCATAACTTTTCTTTCTCGTCTGCAAATCTGATTTTGATTTGAGCCACATGAAACAAGTTAATAATAGAGATTTTTTTCGTAACAGGTTGGTGCTGAGTTTCAGAAAAAGACGTGATAGTCTCATTCCAAGCTACTTTGAACATCCTTCCCACAATCTCTTAAATAGCAGCCACACAAAATCGTGTTTCTCCATAGTTGGTGGATTATTTTTTTTCTTTGACACTATCTAATAAAGGTCAAGAAAAAAAAAGATTTTACGGGATTCCATGTCACTCTGTTACTACTGTGTTTTTTTCAGACAAGCATATGTTTTGTTTCTTACCATTCAAAATAATAACTCCTTTTCTGTTCCAGAGAAAGCATACGCTAAGAAAGTTAAGTGCTAAAGTCTGCACTTTTTTATATTAGATTGAAAGTGTAAATTCTTCTTAAACAACCTACCTGGTTTTCATTAATATTTTGTAGGTATTTCTATAAATAACTAACATGAACACAGAAATACCAGAAAAAAGTCTGTTTAGGACAGCTATACCACTATATAAAGTGCAGTATAAATATAAAAGAAATAATCCACAACTGCAGCACATTTACCATTTAGTATCATAAAAGAGAATAAGGTGAAGAAAATCGCATGTATTCTTTAACAGCATAAGGGGACTCCAGCATCAGAGACAGATATACTAAAGGAAGTTGGAAAAACTAAGGGGTTGAGGAAGTGGCTGCAATATAGATATGAAGCAGGAATAGGAGAAAGTATTAGGCAGAAAGTCCTATTTGATCAGGGAATGATTTCCCAGCTACTGAAACCAAATCCCAATACCTAAAGACCTGTCCCAAAAAATACTATAAAATATTTGGGAAGAACAGCCCTATTTTTACCGGCCATGATTTTAATCCAGTAATTTTCAATTTATGATAATGTTTTGCAAGAAAGCCAAGAAAATTATCTTAAGTTGTCTGTAAAGATAGAGGTTTAAGTTTGTTTGTTTTTCAAACCGAACTCCTTTTCTTGACAAATGTTTGAAGAAACCACATGAATTGTACTAGTTTCACATGTTAATTCATTTAGAAAAATAAAAATCTTTAAAAGGCTTAACAATTCTGTGGAAGTTTTAAACAGGGACACACAATTTGTTTCCCTTTTTAAGAACCACCAGCAGATTGAACACTCAGGACTGACTGATTACTCTAGTTGGGAGGCATTACATTTTACTATACTCGAAAGAAAATCTTACTGTTCAGCAGTATTGTCATTAAGACCAAAGATTCACTGATAACCTCTTGAAAGACAGACATATATTATACGGACATTACCTGAGTTTATTTCTTTCACTTCTAAGGTACAAAGATAAAAAGTTTGCAATTTGCAAATTCTCAACTTGACTAACTGACCAAGCTATTTCCTTAATAACATTACTTTAAGTCCTTCTGGGTTGCTAGGAAACAAAATACAGTTTTAAAAGCCCCAGATAAATGGCAAGAGATCTCTCTTAACTGAGATAGCAACAATTCATTTGAATAAAGACATTAAAACCTACAAGACAATAATAACTAATTCTTCATGTGTCTCATCTAAAATTAAAAGTTCATCCTCAGCACAGGCTAGAAATAAAAAGGCATAGAATAACATGAATTTTCATGACATACCAGTGTTACTTTGCCAGATGACAGAATAATTATAATTGAATATTTACAAGACACTGTTTGGCTGCGGAACAAAGAACTTACATATACACCATATCCTTTATCTTACAGTATCTGTGAGTATTTGCAAGATAGTGTGATCTGGGTATTTGTAATACACTCCAGGTTAACAAAACAGAGAAATGAAGACTTGTTCTGGCTGTCAAAACAATACATTCAACAATGACTCTAATGCAAAAATGTGTTAGGTGTATCAAGTATCATTTCTCCCAGGTAACGGCATAAGAAAAAACCTTCAAGATCTAATAGTTTGCTATGTGTGGAAATATGATAGATGGAGCTATTATAATACATGGTATGGATCCTTTCTTCCATTTTCTCTGGAAATATACTTAAATTCTGCAATTCTGTTTTTTAACAAATAAGGAAATAAATTCCTTACCACATTTTGGTTGATCTTGTGCCTGAAACATGTGATGTAGACAACATATGGCCAGTCATCAGGTTCCATCAGCACTCCTGCAGCATGGGCACAGGTAACATGGAAGGAGGCTGGGCAGCGACCATAAGAACACTGAATGCAGGCACCAGAGACTTTCTTAATTCTCTGTCTGCAGAAGATACATTTCTGTAAAAGCAAAATAAACAGAAGATTTACGATACTACCCCAACTTCAGTGACTTCTGCATCTATCTTAAGGACTGAAAAGTTGTTTGTGCTTCACTGATTACATTTTATAACTTGCAATATGCATGGCAAAAGAAGTAGCATTTATGAATTACAAGGTAACTTATTAATATGATAATTAATAGATAGCATTTTTGCCTTTTTTACATAAATGTGAAGATGATCTGTTCTGGTGCTATAGTAAGAAAATTGATATATAGATAGCTATTTAAAAGTTTAATTTCAAATTCCAAAACACATTTTCAAATTCCTCTAAAAAATGAACCTGCTCCTCCTAAAACAGGTAAATCGAAAAACATATACATAATTCTGTAAAAAGTGACAGCAAGACACAAAGAGAATAGGCCCACAGAAATGTAGGGCTAGATAGGACTATCATGTACCATTTAACCTACCCCCCTACTTTGAAGCTGGTCTTTGGGAGATGGTTAATCTAACATGTCCATGAAACAGTTTCTACAGTATCCTCAGATAACCTGTTATAAAGGATAAATCTCCTCAAAGTTAGAAATGTTTTCTTTACCTCAAGCCTTTGCATAATTCCATAGCTGAAGGCTGTTCCTAAGCCCCTCTTCATTTTTTTCTAGTCTGGTTTTCACTGGTTGTGTATTTAATACAATGGTGATCGAGTAGGCTGCATTTCCCCACTTTATATATTAAAACATCATGTCAACAGACTTACCACTGCCAAGACATTCCACTTTTTTTTTTTTTCCTTTTGCTAAAATGGAGACCACATCAAAATATTGTCACTATTTTGTAAGTGACATGAGTAAGTGGCCCACATGAAACAAATGAAGGGACATGAGCTAGGTTAACTAAGTCTGGGAAATAAGTTCCACCATGCTAAAAAAGACAAAGTACAAGATGACCGGTATCATGCCACCAGAAGATATTAACAAACACACTAGATAGAATCATTACTTTAGTAACTTCTGTGGACAACTGTGTTATATCACATATAGGAAATATCCTCTGATAACTCTCATCACGGCTAACAAAACTGCAAATGTTACGGATGATCATAAAATTATCTCAGCTTATTCTAAAATACAGATATTTTATTTAATGACACAAAACAGTGAATTCAATAATTTGAAAACATACTGCTGGAATAGTGATTACCTCCATTTGTTCTAAATTTGCTAGTCACTGATTTTGTCAAACACCGTCTTGTCTGCCTATGCTGGGAACACAAGTAATCATAACTTTGATGAATTTTTACTGCATGGTTAATAATTCAAAGTATTTCAGATTAACTCACATCAAATTGTTCTTCCCAGGTTACCAGAGAATTTTGTTCTATTAATTCCCATATTCTGAAGAAAATCTGCAGAAATTTTATTGTATAATTCAGCACTTAAATAGTTTCAATGGCTTCTGGCACTCAGTTTGTGACTGAAAGAATGCTTTTTGCAAGCACTAGCCCTGTCAAGCGCATTGGTCATGCAGGGTTCTAGTTCACACATCATTCTGAATGTGAAAAACTCTTCAAGTTTTGCCTCCATACCCACACTCTGAAAGCCGAAAACCTGAATGGCTTTGCACAAGTAGCATCTGGAACTTAAAAATTTTACCTACTATTCACTAAAAGGACCAGAACTCAGCTCAGTCTGCTGTAGCAGCATCAGGTCTGAAAGACTAGTAAGAGGTAAAGATGATTTTGCCATCAAAAGAAATGTTCCAGAGACTTCACTGATACGCTGATATCTCATTTGTATTCACGTGCAAGAAGCCATTTTCAGGTAAGTGCCTGTTTCTTGAGGACATTTAAGGATTTTTTATATATATATACATATTCAGAACCCAGTAACATGGGAATTCCACAAAGAAAATACAATTGAAATCTATTGCATGTAATGTCTAGACACTGAGTTCATGCAAATACGTAGCTCTTTTTGAATGCTTTTTCACACAGATATACACACAAATTCATGAGTTGGCCTAACAGAAGAAGAAATGCTGAAGTAATAACACGTATCAGTATTTAAAAAACAAAACAAAATGAAACAAAAAAAACCCTGGCTACGTGGTCTGACTGAAACATTCCAAAAATGCAGTTCACACAAAATGCAGAGAATGGGGAAAAGGGATAAAAATAGTAAAGTGCAGCTAAATTAGCAGTAACTTAAGGAAGTATGTTACAGCAGGAAATGCTGATGCCCTTAAATTATTGCTGCACTTGTGCAAGGCAAATATTACAATGTGGCTGTCGGTTTCTTCAGCATCTATTAAGGTATCATGGAAACTTGGGAGATGTAGAAATCTAAAACTTTACAATACATGAGTAACGCTACAGAAAAAGTTACAGTTATAACTATATATATATATAAGTGCAATTGTATTTGTATTTTAGTATTTTAAGTCTTACCACCTTTCAGAAGTAGAAAAGCTGAGGAAAATAAAAGCAATATGGAGACAGTGAGAGATGCTGTAAAGGAAGCTGGCAGTGCAGTCAGGAAGACTGAAAATGTAATACCTTCAATGGGTTGGCCAAATCCAAAGAAATTAGAGCAAAACTTCATAGCTCTCTGTAAAAGAGATCAACTTATCTGTTCTCTTCCAGAGAGCAAGTTTAGATTAACTTAATAAGAATGTATTAGACAAACTGACATATTATAAGAAAAGTTATTTCTCACAGTACTTTTCAGAGTTGCAACTTGAAAGTACTGAAAAAAAACCTATTAAAAAAAAGCCATCAAATTACTATTGACTATATTCTGTTTTCCATCCTGCTGGTGTAAAATTACAGTAATACTGATGAAAAGTGAAGTTACTTCAGATTTAGTCTTATATAAAAGGAATACTGCTTGACCATACGTAATTGTGTGAATGCAGACTTCAAGTCACATGAAGAAAGTGAAAATAATTCCTGTGTTTTAACCATGAGATGAATCCACCTCTGCCAAATACAAGGAAGGTTGTTGTTACATCAGTTAACTCCAAACATACATTAATCTTTTGTGCTACACTCTTACACTCTTCAGGTATCAAAAAGATTAAGATCATGCAGATGAATGAAGAAGGGAAAAAACAAGTTACTGTACACGGAGGGAAAAAAATCCTATTTCTTCCTATGCTTATGGAATTCCTGAAAAAATGTGAAAATCAGTCATCTTTCAGAAAGCACAAAAAGAATCATAATGAAATATGTTTCCTATTATTTGTAAGATGCTGTATCTTTTGTACATGTACGACACTGAAATGCTGATGCAGATGTATCGCAGCTTTACAATGAGTCTCAAACTTAGACATAAATTTTGAAAAGAATACATATGCACAAATAAAAGTCTGGTGTACAAGCAAATTCACATTGCATAACTGTATTAGGCAGCATGGCCCCGTTGTTTAGAGATATGAGAAAAAGCTCTTTTATCTTTGAAAATGTAAGTCAAACAGATAATCTACCATTTTTGATTAATGAAATCAGAATACACAGAATAAAAGTAGAACAAACTATAAAAACCTGCTTTGCATAAACTTTTGGAACCTCAGCTGAGCTACATACCAAGCTGTATATTAGCTCTAAGTAGTAAATTGAACTGTGCTGTGTCTGACCCATACTGGCAATTCTTCCCTCCCTAGTTTCTAACTAATAATGTATTTCTCATATTCTCACTTGGGGCTTTACAGCATACAAATTTAAATGATTTTTTTCTCCTTTTTTTCCCATGTTAATATTATTTTTTATAGTATGGTGACATAGAATCATAGAATTGTTTTGGTTGGAAAAGACCCTTACAATCATCAAGTCCAACTGTTAACCTGGCACTGCCAAGTCCAACCACTAAACCAAGTCCCTAAGCACCACATCTACACGTCTTTTAAGTGATGGTGAATCAACCACTTCCCTGGGCAGCCTGTTCCAATGCTTGACAACCCTTTTGGTGAATAAATTTTTCCTAATATCCAATCTAAACCTCCCCTGTCACAACTTGAGGCCATTTCCTCTTGTCCTGTCGCTTGTCACTTGGGAGAAGAGACCAACATCCACCTGGCTACAGCCTCCTTTCAGGTAGTTGTAGAGAGCCATAAGGTCTCCCCTCCGCCTCCTTTTCTCCAGGCTAAACAACCCCAGTTCCCTCAGCCGCTCCTCCTAAGACTTGTGCTCTAGACCCTTCACCAGCTTCGTTGCCCTTCTTTGGACACGCTCCAGCACCTCAGTGTCCTTCTTGTAGTGAGGGGCCCAAAACAGAACACAGTGCTCGATATGCGGCTTCACCAGTGCCGAGTACAGGGGGACGATCACTTCCCTACTCCTGCTGGCCACACTAGTTCTGATACAGAGAAATATTATCTGATATATGAAAAAAAAAGGGTGATATAAATGTGTTGTTCTGCTTTGGTTTAAAAAAAAAAAAAATCACTGAAGGCAACCAAAGGAAAAAAGACATCAAAATTATGAAAGAAGAGAGGGAATCACTCGTTGTGAAGACTGAGGTTTCACTCTCCCTCCCATCCTTGCCTGAAGTCTGACTTTTTTATGTTTGTATGTGTTGGGTTTGCGTGGCAAGGTTTT